GTTATGGCGGCCCACACCATCACCATGGCCGGCTTTTGAGTTGTGATGGCCAACCGAAGTTGCAAATTTTCAGCTGACCTCTCTGGCAAGTAAACACGATCATTTTGTTTGTTTACAAACTGCTGGATAACGAATGGTTTCTCATCGGAGAAAACCAAATTCGGCAGTTCACCACTTTCGGCCAAGCGAAACAACTCTTTAGCTTTTTCGAGTCTAACTTTTTTTTGCGCATCAGTAAGATCTTGCACTTTTTGGAACTTGAATGGCTTTAGTCCAAGCTCATTTTTCAATATTTGCCGAATGGCATATTGCGATATGTTCAGCTCACGAGCCATTTTTCGTCCACTGCGACGCGGATTTCGTTCAATTCGCTTTTTCACTTTTCGAACCATTTCTGCCGATGTTGCTGTTTTTTTTCGTCCACTTCCTTGACGTCGGGCTACGCTACCAGTATCATGGTAACGAGCGATGGTACGAGACACAAAACATTTATTCACTTCTAAATGCTGGAGGGCTCTAACGATAGCCACTTGTGGTTTTCCAGCCAAATGCAAAGCAATCACACTATCACGCTTGAATTCCATCACAAATAACTTTTTTTTTGAAAAATTCCCACCAAAATGCTTTTGTGCGCTTGTAAACAATATAATGAGCTGTCACTAGAATAAATCTGACAGCTGTGGGACGAGCGGTTTAGAAATGATAGCAGTCTGAAGTTGGTTGCAGTTTTTTCATCTCACCTTGTATATATTTGGTTTAAAATTGCTATTTGTTCCTCAATTTTAGAAACAAAATGTGCAACAGTTTGGGTACCTTGTCGCAAACGTGCTAAATTATTCTGGACTGTTAATGGATTTTGATTAGGTTTATAGATATTTTTCAGCTTTTGAATAAATTTTGGTATTGTGTCGTCTTCTTCTTCTGAAATGAGTTTGTTTTTAACTCTATCAGATAATTTAGTTGACTTAACAAACCGAAGTAAGATGGATCTCTCGATTTCATCTTTAAGTGATTCAGAATAAAATTGTAAAATGCCTATAAAGTTTGATAAACTTTTAGCATTACCATTGAATTCTGGTATTACTTTTGAAGCTGCAATTAAATCAAAATTAGCCATTTTTGCTTTAATATTGTCTATGGGTCTATTTAATTGTTCTGTGATTGACTTAGGTTGCAAGTATTTTTCTATCTGCTCTACTAAACTGTCAAATTCCAACCTTAAATTCTTGATATCTTTGATATCTGTATGTTCTTCTATATCTAACCAGATTTGATGTATTATTTTTTATATATGATTTTTATTTAATGTTAATTTTCATTTCTAACTGCTTGTTTTTTAATATACTTTTTAAAATGTGAATTAATTTTTATTATTATTAATATAAATAGAAATTTAAAGTTTAAATATGATATATAATTATTAGGATTAAAATTATTTGTTGATGCTGTTGCTGCTGTTGCTGCTACATTGTTGTTTACTATTTCTTCTGTTGATTGGGTTCCACCCATTTTTCTTTAACTCCTTAAGCTGTTGCCGTAAAATATTTTTATTTTCTCCTTGAGATATCTTCAAGAGACACTTGAGATTGCCAATTTCTTTGGATACCTTTCGTTTTTTGCCACCGCACACCTTCTTTTTTGTTTGTTCGATTGTTATTGGCTGCTGTC